AGGAACCGGCCCATCAAGTAATTATTCAAACGCCATGGTTGTAGCCACTGGAGGTCCTGGCTTTCCGACTAGTCTTCATTCAGGTATATTAAAGGCCTTATAACCGTAGTACTCTTTCTTATATCTCACTCATCTATTTGCCACTTACGAGCTGTGTCGTCTATATTTAATGCTTCCAGGAAGCAGAGCTACCTGCAAAACTCGTCATCTACTAAATTGCACGGATTCGTTAAATTTTAATCTAATTGGTATAACAGTGGGAAAATGTACTTTTAAGCTGGGTAATGTCATTTCATTGTTTATTTAGGAATCGAGTTAATAGCTAATACTTTATTACCTATGGACATAATATATTTTCACATGTATAACCAAGCTATTTGTTGCGTTAACGAAAGGCATCAATTTGATATCAAACTTGAAGTGCTCCCTAGCTAAGAGATATACTCGAGATTGGACTTTATTTTGACCGGCGGCACCCAACCCTAGAGTCTGAAGAGTCGTATCAGCAGTGCGATTTGTCGTAATGTGAACGAAATCGTATTTTTATTTACTTTCTCTGAGCTCTTCAGTAAATTTTATCTGACTTAACTATCCGTAACTTCTCCTAGCACGTCTTCCATAGGAAATGATGAATTACTGACATATCAACTTTGAACTCTGCAAATGAACCCCAGACCTTTACAAAATTGTACATTAAAAATTCATGGTTATAACTTTAGATCAATAACAGTATTTTTGCGCATCCCTATCTCAAATAACTTTGTATTAATCTTTTAAACTCTTCTTCATATAGTGTTGGTTCGACAGTTTTCATAAATTGGTCGGAGCGTCAGGAAGACCATGTGAGAATTACCTAGTCCCGTGTTCTCTGCCGTAGTATTAGTGATTTCCAGCATTGGACGGTTGACTTGGTACATTCCCAAGTCAATACTACAGCAGAGAACACGGGACTAGGCAATTTCTGCAAGGTCTCTCTGGCGCTCCGACCAACAGTATAAAGCTAAAGGAGACTGCAACCAACCAGAAGGCCACACCATCTTGGTCTTTATATCTACGATCTTTTTCATATAATCATCAAATCAATGAACTCGATACCTGATGACTGCTTCACTGATAGTTGTATCTATATTTTGTAAATGGTGTAATGTTATTTATTTCCACCAAAATAGCGAACCACACTATGCAAATTAATTGCTCATCCCTTTATATCGTTTCTCAATAATTTACTTAGCATTCCTTCATACTTTGTCTAGTTTCCAAAAATCCTCTTGATTTTTCCTTACATAGAATGGTATGTTTGTCAATTCATAATTAGAAGTACCGAAAAGTCAAAATCTCCCAAATTTTTTTTTATTCAAAGACTAAAGCCTCTGAATAACAAAACGCTTAATGGCTTTATTATCAACGGTTCGATGCTTCTTCTGCCTAAAAGCCATTAGCTTCGCTATTTCTTTTCATGCTTGCTTTTTTGTTGTTGAGCCATGTATATGTGCGTGTGTATATATATTCTTTTCATTTGATATTCACTCAATCATCGAATTCAAAATTTTCGACCAGATGCTTTGGGAAATGCTGGCTGTCCACCTAATGTTGGACTTTACGCTCCGGAGGCTATCAACGCAGGCCCTTCTATGGGGACAAATTCCACGGGTGGGCGGCTTTACTTGCCCCGCAGTGTTTCCAATCAGTCACAACCACCTGCTCCACCATCCGCTTCATTTTTGCATCTTCCGCCACCACCAACAGTATCGACTGGTGTCGGTGGCGGGCTTATGTCTGGCCAGCAAGGCCAACGCCGTGTAGCCGGTCCTCTAGTGCCTGGCGGACCTACTGGTTGTTCTACTCGTTTTCCTGGGCCTAGCGCAACCGGAACTTCAGTTGTCACCAGCGGTCTGTCCTACCACCACCCACATGCTCCTGGTCAGCATGGCCAGCGGCAGGGAAATGCCACTTCACTTAATGGTCCAAGCTACCACCCTCCACTGACTCCACATATGATGGGTCCTCCACCCCCGCCTGGTTTCTTACCCGGCCCTCCACCTCATCTTCTCGGTGGACCTAGAGCCCCAGGTTCTGCGCTCCCGCAGGGTCCCGCATCAGGCCCGGCGCCAGGCAGTCTCTTTGGCTTTCCAGGCGGGCCAAGCAAGGCTATTGCTCCTATTGGCCCCGGGGGGTTGGGAAAGGCAAGTAAGGAGGCTCATCACCATCATCACCATCCGCCACCGCCACCACATCCGCCTCATCATCAAGGACATCCGACTCAACTGCATCCACAACATCCTGCTGCAATGTCGGCAGCCGCAGCCGCTGCTCTTGCTCTGGTCGCTGCGCATCAGCCACATCCATCTCAGCACCTCCCTGGGGGCCCTGGCCATCTTCCTCGACTGCCTAGTTCTCAGTTGAGCGGACGCGGGCACCATGGTCAGCCCCATCATCTAGCTCAATCTCCTCAGGCACAGCAGCAGCAGTCGCCTTCTCAACAGAGTCAACAGCAGCAGGTCTCTGGCCAGCCGGCTAATCCACATCCCTTTCATCCACACGCTCACCATGCTCCCCATCACTCAGCAGCTGCAGCAGCTGCTACTGCACTTAGCGCCATGTCTCTATCACACCTCAGGCATCCTGGGCAGCACACGCATCACCAGACGCAGCACCATCCAACACAACATCATGCACAGCATCATCATCAGAACCCTGGGCATCACCATCAGGTCCATGCTCTGCCTGGTCATCACTCCCACGCCGGCGGCTTGCTTTCTACTGCCCTCCCTGCTCTTTCAGGCGCGACCTCTGCAGTCAATCCGCCAGAGCGAAGTAGATTGTTAGAGGACTTTAGGTATATTTCTTGCAACGTTTTTTTATTTTTCGATTCTCTGACATTGATGTTTGTTCTATCTTTTATTCCACAACGTTTTTAAATTTAAACTAATTGAATCAATAGTCAACTTATAAGTCTTTCACAAATGGCCTCCTGTCTTTATTAAATTAAGGTCCACGTGTTTTAAGTTAGGCTTAATTGGAATGTTACTCTCCAATAGGGAGTATCAACTTTATCTGGATATTATCATTTTACCTCTTACATCTTTGTTCGGTAGCTTTTTTGCATCTCACTTAACCAGGGTTCACTGTCAAGCTCATCTTAATTTTCTAGAGCTTGTCAGAGCCTTTAGCCTTTTGCTATTAGTTCTGACTGATTTAGAAAATAATTTCAGAATGATACTGTGTGGATAACTCTTGTGAAATCTATGCATTAAATATCCAGAATAGCCTGCGATTTTCTGGTGAGTTTTTATCAATTGTTTCTTTCGAAGTCCATACAACGATTCTAAGTCGATCTTTCCAATATATTTTCAAAGGACTACATTCGGTTAATAGATCTTCTGTGATTTGACTCGAGGACACGTGGCGAGATGGCATTCGAATGAATATAATGGGGCAGATGTATAGTTCCGAAAGATGTACATAACTATTTGACAGAGAAGCGAGGGTGATGTGCAGAAGAGGTCGGAAGAAACCGGGCGAAAGAGATGGTTTGCTGCCTAGTTTAGCCTCACGGAGACACTATGATCATATGCCGAAACGTAAATACGTGGAATTGATTCAAAGTCGGTTCATAAAAGTCCCTTCACGGAATTACCCTTTAGGCAAGCAAGGGTTAGCTAGGGATAATGACGCGGAAAACATCCTGGTCTTTGGATA